GCAGTCCGAGTCCGGCGGGGCGGGGATTGACAGCCAGGACTGCGGTTCTGGAGGCCTCAGCCCTTGGCTACCTCTTGGCAGCTCCAGGCTGACAGTCACTCAAACTAGGACCAATCAGCCATACAGTTACATAGATCTGTAAGCATCCGCCTGAAATGTCCATTACTTCCCGGATTGTGTCGCACCTACAGTGTTAATAAGGTGGCCGTTCCTTGTTCCTGGCGCTAAGGCTTGATAAGCAAAGAAACCCCGACAGTGCCAAGATCAACCATTTTATTTTCTGCCTTCCATTTATGAGCCTTCTTCCAAATCGGGACTGGCTTAGGTCTTTATATGAATGATACCACTTAATCCTAACCAAACCACACAACAGGGAGGCCGTAATACTGGCTCCGCTTTTATAAGGGAGGAAGCCGACCTATGTATGCCTCCTTTGACTGAAAGTAGACTGAATACCCGTTCCTCTAAGAGGTAACAGCCCCCCACCCGCAACTGCTGCAGTTTGTTGAGATTTTTGACCTGAGTGTCATCCATATACCAATCTTCACCTGATTTTCGGGAATATTGATGTCAGTCAAGACATGTTTTTTGCCCTGGCAAGTAGAAAAAAAATATGAAAGGCTCCGTGCAGACAGCTAACTACCAGTGTGGCTTATTGGGGGAAGTCAGGGGACGGATATCTCTTTTTGGTCCTTTCTTTTCATCTTTGTAATTAAGTGTCTAGGAGTTCCTTCCTCTCGAGCTGGTTGCAGAACAGATTTGAAATCCACACCCCAAGCGAGTCTGTGAAATGGATTTCAGTCCTGTGGCCCTGAGGTTAAATAATTTGAGATGTTCTCTAGGAAAAAGATTACAGAATGGCCCTGTACACACGATGCTGGGGACATTAGAAAGGGTCCTACAAGGGAGGACTCTGAAGTGTAAGCTTCATTAGCTTCAGGGTAAGTCTGTCCCTGGTTCTTAAGGTCCTGTATTTCATTTGTTGTTTACCTTCTGCTAGACAGAGTTCCTGGGGACAGGAACCTTGTCCGTGATTCACAGCTGCAGCTTTCTCAGCCATATCAAAACACACCTGAGGCTAGCATCTGCATTGCTGGGGAAAGCGAACTGATGTAATTTATCAAGATATAACTACATTATTATGTATTTATCCTTTGACCCAGTAGCCCTAGGTTAAATCCTAGACTTATAGGAACCAATGCCAGTGATATATTGGCATAAATACAGAAATACTGTGTGCGCCGTGCTCTTCATTATGGTGTTAATGGCAAAAGATTAAAAACTGCCCACACATCTAAAAATTGGTCGGTACCTTGTAATACACAGAATGGATATGCAGCCATGAAAAGGTACCAGGAAGAATAAGTAAGTAATTCTAGCACTCTTGGAGACACAGGCAGTGAGATTGCAAGTTCAGGTTCTGCTTGGGCAATTTAGACTTTATCTCAAAGCAAAAGCTGGGTGTGGTGGCGTACCCCTGTAATCCCAGCCCTCAACTCAGGAGGTAGGAATGAGATCACCACGAGTTCGAGGCCAGCCAGGGCCACATAGTGAGTTCAAGACCAGCCTGAGTTACTGAGTGAGACCCTGTCTCAAAAGGAACAACAACAAAAAAACCCAAAAGGGTAGAAGTGTAGCTCAGTGTGAGGACTCTGAGTTCAATCCCTGGTACTGGAAAAATAAAAGATATGGGAAGAGCTTAGATTCTAAAAAACATTAATATGGGGCTGAGGGTGTAGCTCAGTGGTGCCGCGCCTCCCTGGCAAACTCAAGGTCCGGAGTTCGATCCCTGGTACCACCAAAAAAAACCCAGAACAAAACAAAAGCCCAAACTCATTAATATGGCATGATTTCTCTCTGTCTCTCTAGAGAGAGAGTCCACCAAAAAACTAAACTGTAGCAGTTTGCTGTACTAATGAATATCTGGAAGTGGATGGCCACCACTTTGAGCACTTCTATAATTGTAGAGGCCAAAGGTAACTTGTATTTAGCTCATGATGTCTTCAATAAATGTAGTACTAAAATATTTTTACAAGTTTTTCTTTTCCTGATGTATATATTTTTGGCGGAGTGTTAGGTGAAGTAAGGTGCATACTAGTGTTTGTAGCATGCCGATTTCTGTATGTGTGATGGGAGACACACACCCATGTGCTAATTGCTTACATTTGAAAGATAAACAATGGACAAAAGCCAAGCTTCTCAAAATGCTTGCCTATGTTTGGAGGACAGCATAGAATTGGAAATGAGACCTCTTGAGTGTAACTTATTACATAGTTATTCTTTTGGGAACTTGTAAACGTTTTGCACATTTATAAAATACTTCAATAAAAAGAATAAAGCATTCTATAAAAGTGAAATGGAACTGAACCATCTGTGTCAGATTGATGGCAAAAGTACACAGAGAAGGTCTTTTCGAGTGGCTTTAAAAGTATATTGACAACTGCTGTGAGATGCAGCACAAGGACACCTAAAACTGCATAGAAATACAATTGTATATCCTGTGTCTTATTCTTAGGAGTAATATTGGTATTTTGAAACTGATGTTATAAAATAAAGCAAATAAGCAGTGGCATTAGGAATCAAGATTTTTCAGGCTGTGGGAAAAAGTTGCAAGCATAAAAGAAGCTTAGAATAAACTTAGATCTGAATTACATAGCAGTATAAAGAATGCATTTTTCTCTTAAAAGATGTATTTTCAAGCCCTCTGCTGAAAAAGCCTAGAAACAATGACCAATGTAGTAGTAATGAGCAGCCCTGTGCACTGGTGTTTACATAGCATTTTTTAGTTTAAAACATTAAAAAAATCAGGACTCCTCTGATGGCTGATTCCGGTTTTGGAGCTGCAAAGATGAACTTGGGTCACTTTGTGCCTGGAAGCCAGGAATTTATGAGACTAGTAAAAATGACAAGGAACCAATCCTAAGGGGTCTCCATGGCCAAAGATGGAACAATTTGCACATTAAGAAAAATAATTGGGGCCAGGGACTTAGCTCAGTGGTTGCACTGCCTGCTTTGCAAGCCAAGGTTCTGAGTTTGATCTCCGGTACCAAAAAAAAAAAATTGCTTCAGTAGATTACAACACATAAAATTTGTAAAAGTCCACTAATTCATAATTGCACTTAAGGAAAAAAAATCTCAGCAGCAGCATAAAGGGAAATAAACATTTCTGGTCTTTAGAAAGGTATTTTCTGTAGAAGAATTCCAGCTAATAAATGTGGTAGAAATGATAGGATTACAAAAGCACAGTTTTTAGCCGGGCATGATGGCACAGGCCTGTGATCCCAGCACTTGGGAAGCTGAGGCAGGAGTATTGCCAGGAGGCCAGTTTGGACTATATTGTGAGATCCTGTCTCAAAAAATGGACAAAAATAAAACAAAACCCAAAAGCAGTTTTTCAAACACTAATGAAACAAAGTCCAGGAAATGGTCATATAGTGGTGCTAAATTAATGAAAAGTTTTGGGAAATTTTGTAATGAGTTTACCACCACTCAAACACACTGACCAATCTTAAAATCACTAAGAGGAGGCTGCAGTGCATTCCCTGAAATAATTCTTGCCTAAAAAAACAAAAGAGCCCAATCAAGCAAACTAACTATGGGGAATGGGCAAAACCACAATCAGCCAAACTCAAAATATAGCACATCCTACAGATGAGTGTCCTGGTTTCTCCAATACATTCATGGTGTGGAAGTTAAAAAGAAGCATAAAGATCAAAAGGTTGACCAAATGCAATAGAGTCATTTGGATATCGATTCACAAGAGCCAGCTGTCAAAAAGACATTTTTTTTTTTTTTGAGAAGGTCTCACTATGTAGTTGAGGCTGGCCTTAAATTCACTATATAACTCAGACTGACCTCAAACTCACAGCGATCCTCCTGCCTCAGCCACCCAAGTGCTGAGATTACAGGAGTGTGCCACCACACCTGGAAAGACATCTTTGGTAAGATCAGGGGAATTTGAATATGAACACAAAGATCAGGTATTCTCTTTTTGCTTAGGTGCAACAATGAGAGTGTGAAGGTAAAAATCTTTTTCAATTGGAACAGTATGCCAATGTACTTTGGATGAAGTCAAGTCTGAGATATTTTTAAATACTCTAAAAAGCAGCACAACAAACAGGAAGATTGGCAAAATGTTCGTAGTTGTTACATGACCCATTATGCCATTTTACTGTCTTGTATGTTTTAGTTTTTTCAAGATGAAAAGTTAGACAATCAGCTGTGCGGGGTGGCACATAACCGTAATCCCAGCGCTTTGGGAGACTGAAGCAGGAGGATCTCAAGTTCAAGCCCAGCCGTGGCAATTTAGTGAGACCGTTGTCTCACAATAAAAAATAAAAGCCTGGGTATGGGGGCCGGGGATTTAGCTCAGTGGTTCCACCTCCCGTCCGGCAAGCGCAAGGTCCCGAGTTTGATCGCCGGTACCAAAAAAACAAAACAAGAAAACCTGGATGTGTAGCTCAGTGCTGAGGCCCTGGTTTCAATCTTCAGCACAGAAGGAGGAGAAGAGACAGCCGAGACAATTACAGTTTAAAAAAAAAAAAAAAAAAGGGTAGATGGGAATTTGGATGGAGCAATCCTGCCTTCTAGTGTCCGGTTCCATTAATGCAGCTGGTGTCTGCCTAAAGCCGGTTTGAATTCCCAGACCAGAATGCCAGACATGTCCAGGGTCATATCCGTTATCTCAAAAGAACCTTACAAAGGGGGCAATACTAATAAAAACTGAAGAAATGGAGACTCGGTTTCCTAATAATTGGAAACGAAGATGCCTGTAGTTAGGATAAGTCCAAAGGAAGCCAGTTA